CCTATATTCCCCCAACCCCGATGAAGGTGGGATTCAATCCCACATCTCCACTACAGTATTTTTTCTTAAATATTGCAAATTTGTTCTCAAAATATATCTTTGATCAGACATTTATAGATAACATGCCATAGTCACTTACTGGACATCACTTTTTACTTGGAGAGATGCTGCATTTGGATCACCTGTAAATCAAAATCAAGTTTCACTTTCACCAACTGATATGTCAGAAAACAAATGACTAGACAACAAGTGAAGCCAACTTTCTTATCAATCTAAAAGAGGAAAACCAAAAACAGAACAGGAAAAAAGTAACAAACTTTTAGTAGACTGAAAGTTTCCAGAAGATTCAAATTTGCGAGCTGGCCGTCTCTTCGTAGTATTAGGATGAGAAGCAGGTCGAACTGAAGATATCCTTCCCTTTGATATAATATATATAGAACAGAAATCTGGAGCAGCTTTTGAGACTGCAGTGGACACATCTGTACCCTTAAAGAAACTGCCAAATAAATTAAGACTTATGTGAAGAGAAATAGAGAATAGAGAGGCAATGGCAGACTTGATCAATGAAACTAAACAAAAGAAAACAACTAGTACCTTGTCAAGACATTTCTTGAACTTGCCCCAAGGACAAGTTTATCAACAKATTCTTCCACAACATAATCGACAATGGCTTTTGGTACATCTGTGTCATCTATGATGACCTCCTTGCATTGTAGCTGAATTAACAGAAGGAAAAAAACTCAAATTAGAGATGGGAGAGGAAAGTTTTTCTTTATTTGCTTATGTAGATAGTCCATTCTGAGTACAGATGAAAGAAACCCTGAAGTTTTTTTATAATAGAAAAAAATTAAATGAAATTCTAATAACTTAGGTTCTTCTTGGGCGTTGTCTAGAGCAATGTTGCAAGAAATGGACATATGAATTGGAATCTGATAAGTGTCCAGGAGTCCAACACAATGTGTTTGAAATTTTGGATAAGRAGCAGTTTGATAAGGGCTCAAGTGGCTGAACTGCATGACATATCACTTTGCCTATTAGTGGAYAAAATAATAAAAATAATAAGACGTGCAAGGATATAGTGATCTACCCAACTTCAGTTTCAGCCATTGAAGAACCCACAAACTCCTTAAAAACTTATTCACTAAAAGACAAAGCAATAAGCTTTTCAGCTAGCCATTTTAGCTGTTATCAAACAGTAAGTGTTGTTTTTCACAATATGGAGAACTTTTTTATTCAAGAAATAACTAGGAGGTTGGCCATTCTTTCTCATTTGCTCAACATATCTCCCACTTTATGTTGTTCTAATAGAATTACATGTAATTAAGGTCACATTAAATTAAAAAAAAAAAAGTACTTTTACTGTAAATCTCATTCAATAAGTGACCTGCTAAATGTCAATACCCGCCTGTACTAGCATAGTTGTCCTTTCAAAAAATTTAAAGGCCCATGTGAAGTGAACTTCAAGATTACAAGTTCATAAAATTCAGACCTTTATGAAGGACTCCACATAAAGACATTAGAAAGTTCTAGTTTTACTTAAGCATCTTTTAAACAGTGCTAGTCTCTAATGCAAAATAATATTTATCTCTAATGAAAATTTTGACTTAGCATTCTAAAATGCCCTAAAAAAATCAACTTTTTGCAAGATTATCAATGATCAATAAGCTACCACCTAACCTCTCATAATATGCTCAATTATTTATACAATAATAATGCCATTGTGGCTCCTATCTACAGATTTTCATTGTCTGCAGATTAAAATAATTAAATGAAATTAGCCAAAGGAGAGTGGATCTCCCTTTATGCAGAAAATTTGATATTTTAATGCTAGGAAAACAATCCAGCACAAGTTCAAAGCAGCTGTAGATCATTTGCTCTAAGAGTTTCAACAATATCATTTTTCATCAGAAGATGTGAAGAAGCAGAGATCCTGCTCTTGCTATAAATTGCGAGAACATGTACCTATTGAAAGAAAATAAGAGCAATCAGGCTATTACATTCCAACCAGTGATATTTATTACCTCTGGCAAAATGCAACTGTACCCAGTTTTTAACGATTTGTTGCCTACCATACAGGAGTTCAAAATCTTTTTTTTTTTTTTTGTAAAAGTTCAAAGTCAGTGGTGGTAAATACATACCCCTCTTCTATTGCAGTAACACTGGAAAGGAAGGAATACTTCTTTTGTCTGCAGGTCAAACTGTTGAAGGAATGTAGATGCAACCTCTTCATTTACTTCTGAGAGAGGAACTTGTTTCCCAGCTTCACAAAAAAAAAAAAAAAAATACCAAAACAATGTCTTAGATAGAATCAGAAAGCATATTTAACAAGTTGGAATCTAAATATCAACAGAAGCCTATTAAAATGCAAGGAACAACCACAAGCAACTGAAATTTGTAACTTATCATCAAGTTTTTACAGCACCGAGAGAAATGAAAACATATGAAAAAACACTGACACATCAAGACCTCATCCCAGAATATAACTTGGATTCATTTTCCTAAATGAACTTATAAGATAGTAGGAACGTGAGAAAACAATCAGATCTCCCAAGTTGACACAGAACAGAGAGATTTCTAAAACAGGAAAAACGAAGCAATTATTTGACTTCATTAAAAACAAATTAACAAACATTGGCCGGGCAAATGGATTCCATTATACCAGTAACTAGATAACAAGAATAATAATAATAACAATAACAAAACTGCCAGTTGGGGCTAACTTGTAGTAGGGATTGTAGGAGGCTTGCGAACATGAAGGAGGACGAAGATCTGCCCCTTGGATATTAAATGATCTGCCGCCCATCTTAGCGCGTGCTGGCTGCCCTTGTCCGTGTCAATTGCAACGACCACCAGGCCCTGATCTTCAGTATTATCCTGAATGCGACGCCAAGTACTTCTCATCATTTTCAGAGCCTAGATTTAGGACAAACCAAGTTGATAATTTAGGACGAACCGAACTCTACAATTCGTTGTAATTGTAGAATTCGGTTCTCCTCCTCCTTCCTCTCTTCTTCTTCTTGGTCTGATAAGAGAAGGAAGAGGAGCAACAAATTGTAGAAATCGGTCCTCCTCCTCCTCCTTCTTGGTCTGATAAGAGAAAGAAGAGGAGCAGAAATTAGGGTTTTGTGAGAAGAGATGGTTGTAGGATCAGGTATTCCCAGGAAACGCAGAGAAGTCATGTGAACAAGCTCGTTGGTTCACTGAATTTAGCACTTTTTCCGTTTTCTGTTTCTTTTTTAGGCGTGAAATCTGGTCAGTTATGCTACACACCCTATTAATAACCGATCAAAAAGAAATTAAAAACCCAAATTAGCCTATCCATGGCCTCCTCCCTTTGGATTGGGGCCGTCTGTCTTCCGTGTCCTAACATGAGTCTCGATCTCCGTGTTTCTTTCCCGACCGAAAACTCTCTTCCTCCGCTTTCTCCACCACTGCCATTTAAGGCGCTGGTCAGCTCCTCTCTCTCTCTCTCTCTCCTCTATTACTAAATCACAGCAACGACCGCGACTCGTGATGGACAGGGCTAGAGGTGCTGGATGCAGGAGTCGCCGGCGAGCCCGAAGCTCAAGAGGCATTGAAATTGTTGGGAAGCAGGATGGCAGAGCATTTGGAGATTAGGAGTTTAGGACAATGATTGTGCGGTACATTGAGAAACAGGAGGTCAAACGTTTCTGTCGGAGAAAATCTGTAGCTTCTTCACTAGTGCCGTTATGAACCGTGAGAAGGAAAAACTGTGAGCCTTTTATTCTCTTTTTATGTTTTTGGCCTAGAGGATCAACACCCAAGATTGTCAGCACGAGAATATGAAGAGAAGACGAACTTATCCAACAACGGAGAGAATTTAAGTATGACGAAGACCAGTTGTTGACACCTTAGCTACATCGGGCCATGGCGTGGGCTCGTTGGTGCTGGTTATCTAACAGCACGACTGTCGTCGCCGGAAAACCAGAGAGGGATAGATAGCACAGAGAGTTCGAAGGAGGAGGAGTTCAAGGGGGGGGGGAGAATGCTGCAAATGGTATTCATTAGTCCATGAATTGGTTCAAAACTACAAATTTCATACAATAAGGTTGTTTCATTCAACAAATTCAATTCCAAAGACATGACTTCTACTCCAGGATAGAGGATTGTAGTCTCAGTGATCAATTCCATAAGAATTTATTGCAACTCAACAGCTTGTGAGCTGCACGATTACAAAATTCTAGCATTCTAGAGGAGCAAATACTAGTAATCATCCTCCAATATGCCAGAAATTCTCGATGGAGGCTGAACCCCGGGGTCCAACAGATATTTTTAACAATCAATTGAGCATCACTTCTGAGTTTTGACAACCAACAATCACTAGGGTTGCTCATAAAAAATCGAAGAACCAAACTAAATCGAGAAAATTGAATTGAAAATAGATTATGAAAGAAATATGTTATAAATATATTGCATATATTATATATTTATAATATCCAATCAAAAGATATCTTGAAATTTGCAGGTTCGCTTATTGTCTTGGGGCATAAAAGGTTATGAAAGAAATGTGGGCCAAGAGCTTCGGTTTGAAAGAATTAAAGCTTAAGAGGGGCTCGGATCAATGGATGAACTGCTCAATGGATCAATGGCTCGATACCAAATGGAGTGGGGAGTGAACAATAATAATTGGGCAATAATTGAGAATGACTAAGGGTTCTGATAATYGAAGAGTTGTAGTAAAATTAGTATAATAACAGAGATTTAGACTGAGGGAGGCAATATGCTATGCATGAAAATAGCAAAACAGTGAAGGCTATAACCCGAAGACTGCAATTTCCTGGGAGAGATCACTTGGCTAAAAACCTAGAACCCAAATTGAATAAATTAGACATCTACTAGTGCCACCAAGGTCAGGACCCTTAAACTTAAGTCGAAGTCACGTTAAGCCATGAAAACTTATTGAAAGGCCGTTGAAGTTAACTGACTGTTGAAGGTAAAGTGGCAAGATAGGATGAGGAGATTGTTTAGGTCAGCATCTAACTCAGAAGATAGTTCTGAAGAATGTAGCACTAGTTCTTCCCTAACCAAGTCCTTGTCTATAAAAAATATGGAAGAGATAAACTTTAGCAATATAGAAAAATCCCTTCAGAATTGGACCATACCTATAGCACCTTCAGAGATATATAAAAAGGGAGTTTTTAGTCTAAAAACAGACTTCAATATTAAAACTATAGAAAGAGCGATAACACTAGGAAATGAATCAAAAGACTTCCACCTTATAGACCAAAAAACAATAGAGGCCTATAAGAGAAAAGTCGAATGCCATTTCATCCATTTTGGCCTAGTACAGGTAGCCATCAAACCATTGACCCAATTAGGACTTCAAATAGTTGTTTTGGCATGTCTAAGAGATTCTAGACTTAATAAATTCAGTGATTCCTTAATAAGAGTAATTGMGAGTAGCCTTAGTCAAGAACCCATATATTTCAATGCCTTCCCTAATTTCATAGTATCTTTAATGGACCCTTAACCTTGAGGCTACAAACCCAAGGTTTCAAAGTGAAACCATGATCAGAAAACTTAGCATTAGTTTACAAAATTTATTTCAAGACCATTAATACCATTTGTCCTAATACTAGGATAACGGGAACAAGGGGAATGACAATTTTGTTCCAAACAAATGCTAGAAATAATGTTGCGATTCCTAGACAAATTATGTGGAAAGATGTAAAGTTACCAAACAGGTGGCTAATAGCCAATGTCGAGCCTCCCAAACCCGTGGAATCCATTGAATTAGCTTCAGTATTCAGTGAGAAAGACGGATCTATAGAGCTATGGTTTAAAAGAGTCTCGACTTGATCAAGACCTTAACATACAGAACCATTAGAAGTGAGATCTTCTTATTCTAAAAGGTTGGTGGATCTAACAAAATCACCTCCCCCCCCCCCTCCAGGTATAATATATGCCACATATGAAACACCAATAGTTGATGCATCATCATCAGCTTATCACACAACCCAGAATCAAGTCTCCTAAGTAAAGTCCTACGAACCAATAGAGACTGACTTTGAGATTAATCGTTTTAGAAATAGAGGAAGAATTTCAAATAGATAAAGACCTTATTATGCTACATTTTAATTCCCAACCAATAAGAAAGAAATGGATCTTTGAAAATTTCTCTAAATTTGGGAGAGATCATACTAGAGAATTCTGGTATGAAGATATAATAGAAGCTAAGGAAAATATTCCTTTTTGGAATTGGTTTATACAACAAAAACAATTTAAAAATATAAGACCCCCAGAAGAAGAATTAGGGGGATGTTTGGAACTGTGGCCGTTTTAAAAAAAAATGGTGCCACGTCAGATCCACATAGGTGTTTCAATAAACRTCCATGTATCTCATTGTTTGGTTCAGCCGATTATTAATTTGGCATTTCATGCATCGGTGAACCGTTTCCCCCAACGGTTGACTAATGTTTATCCTATGTGGTGCTTACTTGTCAGCATATACATGAAAAATGGTGATGAAAATCACCTTACCAAACAGCATAGTGTTGCTCACTGCTTACATGGCAGAAGCGCTCTTTTGTGAAAAATAGGTCTTGGAAGCATGGGCGTTTTTTCTTGAAAATCGGTCCCAAAAAGCACCCTAGATCTATGTGCAACAAATAAACTTTCAAAAGCTTGGAAAACTACTTCTACAAATAAAATTGTAGAATCAGTACATCCTCCTTTAGAAGCAACAAAAATAGGGAAAGAAAAACTAATAGGTAGTCCAATAAAAATTCTTCTATAATAAAAGAAGTTGAGAAGGTGATACTAGAACATTGTTCTCAAATAATAGAGCAAAACAAGTATACTAACATTTGCTTTAATGTTTTAGACAAATAAACAAATCGAATTGAAACCCTATTTAAGTTCCTTGAAAGTTTTTAATCAAAAAACAATAATAATTAAAAAAGAAAAACCAATGGGGATGGTAAAAGACTTTCCTCGAGACATGAGAATCAAGTGAAATGTGTTATACTTGTCCAAAATGAGTTACAAGGATGTTGCAACAAAGATGATTTCATTCCACAATTCCAATTGGAAAAAGGGAGAATCTTCAAAAACATCACCTAAAAAATTGAAAGAAGAAGAAGAAAAAACATTTGATAATCACTCCATAGATTTATTAAGTGAGGAATAAGAAATTGAAACAAAATCAGAAATAGAAAAAGTTGATGCACCCTCAATAAAGCTTAATAAGCTCYAATATAAGAGTAAACTAGTGGGGACCCGTGCGATGCACAAGATTTATTAAGCGAAAGCTAAATAATAGAAATGGTCATTTACTAAAATACTCCTTATAGTTTCATGGATTTACTAAAATCTACCCTATAGTTAACATTTTACTAAAACACCACTTATAGTTTGCAATGAATTTAATCAATCATCCATTAGATGACAATGGAAAATGAYTGTGTTGACCCTAATGTTCATTTAAATAAATTTAATCAAAAGAAAATAAAAATAAAGATACAATTTTTGCCTTTAATAAGAAACGAGCAACCACTCTATTGGCTATATTTAGTCAATTTTGTTTTTTGTACAAAAAAAGTGTTAAGGGTATTTTTTGAATAACAAATCATGGGCATAATGACAAAGCAAACACTCCTTAATGAAAGGTTGATTAAGTAAATAAGTTGTAAAATATATGGGATATTTTAGTAAAATGAAAACTATAAGGTAGATTTAAGTAAATATGTAAAACTATAAGGTGTGTTCTAATAAATGACCTTAATAGAAACACATAAAAGTATACAATTCTTTTATATTTTCAACTTTTTAAATAATTATTCATATTTTATATACTACTTTTAATAAATTTTTTATAATACAAAAATAACAATAATTATTCTAGGTAGGTTTATTCATCAAACTGAGGAAACCGACCAACCCGATCAACTCAACCCAAGTTGGTCGATTTTCTAGTATTTAAGGTTGGCTTTGGTTCAAAAATTTTCCAATTCGACCAAGTTGGATCAATTTCACTTTGACCATATGTAAACCAACCAAAATCGAATGACCTAACCATGGATATATATTAATATTTTATATTTTAAATATAATTTTTAATATGGAAATGTGAGAAATTTCCCATATTTCTTAGTCTAAAATGTTTTTATATCATAAATCTAATTTTTAAATTTATTTTTTAATAATTGCAATATAATTTTTAAAACTTAATTAAATTTTTAAGTTTAGATCTTTTGAACCGACTGACCAAACCAAAAAATCTAGCTCATCACCTTGTCTCAAAAGACAAAAGCAGAAAAGACAAGCATCTCAATTAAAGATGCCCTCAAGATAAGATCAAATTTGAAAGAGATTTTGGAAACAACTTTCCTACCTATAAATAAGGATCGTCTTCTCATCCCAGGGACATGGCTGAGAATTGTGTTCTAAGGGTGTTTTCATTCTGAGTAGTCTTCTTGTGTTCTTCTGAGTGTTTTGTGAGCATTTTCTTATCTGAGTGTATTTCATCTGAGTGAAAGTTCTTATGAGGTTTGACAAGTGTAATTGTTAAGTTGTGCTTCCGGTGTGCTTTTCGCTTTGTAAGTTGAATGTTTCTGTGAACTTATTTTTCTTGTAATCCTAGTATGTTCTTCATTTTATAAGAAATCGAATTATATTGTTTTGTTGCTTTCATGCATAGCATATTGCCTCCCTCTGTCTGAATCTCTGTTATTAATACTACTCGATTACTATAACCCTTCGATTATCAAAGCCCTCAGTCGTTCTCAATTATTGCACAATTATTATTGCTCACTGTCCACTCCACTTGGTATTAGAGCCCATTGATCAATTGAGCCATTCATCCACTGATCCAAGCCCCTCTTAAGCTTTAATTCTTTCAGACTAGAACTCTTGGTCCATATTTCTTCCATAACCTTTTATGCCCCAAGACAATAAGCCTAGAACTTCAACTTGCAAACTTTAGAGATATCTTTTAATCAAATACTACCTAGAACCTTTAGCTAAAACCCAAGGACTACAACTTCCTCGGAGAGATCACTTGGCTAGAACCCAAGTTGGATAGGCTAGACATCTACCAGTGCCACCAAGGCTAGGAGATTTCTTGAAATAACTCTCCTGCCTATAAATAAGTATCATCTTCTCATCCCAGGGACACGACTGAGAATTGTGTTCTAAGGGTGTTTTCCTTATGAATAGTCTTCTTGTGTTTTTCTGAGTGTTTTGTGAGCATTTTCTTGTCTGAGTGTGTTTCATCTAAGTGAGAGTTCTTGTGAGGTTTGACGAGTGTAATTGTTAAGTTGTGTTTCCAGTGTTCTTTTGGTGTGTTTTTCATTTTGTAAGTTGAATGTTTCTGTAAACTTCTTTTTTTTGTAATCCTAGTATGCTCTTTCTTTAATAAGAAATAGAATTATACTATTTTGTTGTTTT